TGACATGGGATTTGGTGAAGAGCCATAACAACGGGAAACTTTTTTCCTGAAAGCTAGCATGCAACTCCACGTGAAAGCTTTTCTTTTCTGCCAACAAATGATTCCACAGATCTTTTTCTTTCTCGCTATATGTAGTTGGAGCTACTATAGCAATCTCCCAGTAATCTCATACCTCCAACTTCTCTAACTATTCATTCCAAATAAAATGTCCAGCTCACTCCATTGCTTTAGCCCATTATGCCCAACTCTGAGGTATGATTTTACTATTAGTTTTATTCTTTCACCTTGTGGTTTGAGCACCTCGGTAATTAATGTGTTATTATGAGTCATTGTTTTCTGATTCCATGGATCTACCTTAGTGTGTTTTGACATTGCATTCAAGCTAGTACAGAGAACCTTCATTTTAATGAAAAATCTAGTGCTTCTAGATGTATTTAAATGATTTTGGAATCATTTTACAATTAAAATAGACAAGTGTTTAGATTACATGTTTTGCATCCGTTAACTAGTTAAGTGGGGTCTTCATATTGGATTGTTTATGAGAGCATGAAGTTGTGGCATTTTCTTAAGCACTTTCTTCCTTGAAAGCTTCCCTTGAAGTGTGCTGGACTTATCCAATTATCTGCATCTTTGATAAACACTTGACAGACCATTACTCATTAAGGGAGATTTGTCTACTTTCATCTTGCTATTGTGATGGTTAATAGTTTGATGATTAATCAAATTGATAACACTGTTTGTGTAAATTGTTACTGGAGATGTGTGTTTGTGTGTGAGAAAGAGTGATAAAAAAAAGAGCACATGTGTGTGTATTCAGGAAAAAAAAAAAAAAGAGATTTTTGTGTATCTCGTTGTCATCATCCCCACCGCCAACAAGCAAAGGTATAATTTCTAAACTCAGATTTCAACTCTCTTCATTGGCGGCGAACTAGCAAACCCCCCACGTGCTCACGTAGCATTGTGGGGAGGGAAGCTAGTGCGACACCTACGACGAGGCGGGAAATCGCCTAAGATTTCTTTTCTCGTGGCTTGCAACAGGCCGGCAAACTCCCTACGCGCTCACGTAGCGTTGTAGGGAGGGAAACCGGCGTGGCGCTTGCGGCGATTTAAGAATCCCTCTTCAATGCTAGCAAAGAGCCAACAAACCCCCTACGCGCTCAAGTAGCGTTGTAAGGAGGGAAACCGGTGTGGCGCTTGCGGCGAAGGGAATACAAAAAAAAAAAATGCGTTTTCTTTATTTTTATATAAGTACCTCCAAACTCTCACATAGTGCAGAGGGGGGAAATCTGTGCTTATTTCTAACATGTGTCTTCTTCTTATAATAAAAAAAAAATCCTTAAATGCTCATGTAGCGGGCGGGAATAAAAAAAAAATGCAACCGCGGTGTCATTTTGACACCTACCTGAAGCGCTCATGTAGCGTCGAGGGGAAGGTTGCTTTTTTGTTTTTCCCCTAAACGGGAGAGACGTCGGGAGGCTGTCGAAATTTTATCTAAAAAAGACAAGGACTTGTAAACTTTTGGACTGCAAAAAGACAAGGACTTGTAAACTTTTGGACTGCATTGGACTTGGACAAAAGAAAGAATTTTGACTAAAATTTGAACTTGACATGAACTTAAAACTTAAACAAACTTTAACCAAATGAATTGAATTAAACTCAAATTCAAATAAATGAGCAAATTTGGATGATCATAAAGGATTTTTTTTTTATTGGACTTGATTGAACACATTTGACTCAAACTTGCACTTGTGAACTTTGAACTCAAGTAAAGACTTGAGTTGGACCACAGGGAACTCTTACCAGATGGACATGAACTCGAACTTGAAATGAACACTTATGGACTCAAACTCGAAAGAGCAATGCATGAAGCTCAAATAAAGTTGAACTTAACTTGAATAAAATAACTTGAGGCTTGGACATAAATGAGATTTAGCAAGACATTAAAATCCAACATTCAAGATAAGATTAATGGATCTTAAGAATGACACAATCAAGAAAGGAATTTCATATTGAAATGATATCATTTCAAATCAAGATGTAAATGAATAAATGTGAGACTCATGAATCAATTGATTTATAAGAGCTCATCCATTCATATGAATAGGAGACTTGTGTTGAACACAATGTCAAACAATTAGTGCAAAAGGTATGTTGAAATTGTCATCCACAAGTCCATTATAGACTAAAAGCTATGTTCAAAGGCAATGATGCTCGTATGATCTCTAGTATCATTCACTCACAAATGATGATAAGGTTCATGCAAATTGATTGGCTTGAAAAAATCTACAAGAAGCATGCAACGAGTGTCGGGGTGTTCTTACAATCCATTATAACATAAAAAAATTGTCATCCACATGTAAGTCCATTATAGACTAAAAGCTATGTTCAAAGGCAATGATCTCGTATGATCTCTAGTATCATTCACTCACAAATGATGATAAGGTTCATGCAAATTGATTGGCTTGAAAAAATCTACAAGAAGCATGCAACGAGTGTCGGGGTGTTCTTACAATCCATTATAACATAAAAAAAAGGAGCGAATGCTTCTACCACCTACAAGGGATTACAACTCACCAAAGTGAATGTAGTAATACCTTGCAGTTCAAATGTAAGCAAGAACTATGAATCTATTAAAAAAGGATGCGCAGGTGGACGGCATAAGAGCATATACATGAAAAGGTTGGAGTAGCTCCAGTGGAAGATAAGATTAAAGAGAGTCATCTTAGTTTGTTTGGTCACATAAACGGCGGCCTTTCGATGACCAAATTAGGAGAGAATATTATATTTGGCTTATGTTAAGAAAAGTAGAGGTAGGCCTAAAAAGACTTGGTTAGAAAATATTAGAAATGACATTTTGTTTATTAGATTTAAATAAGAATTTGACTCTTAACATGACATAATGGAGAAAAAGTATTCATGTAGCTGACCCTACATAGTGATATAAATACTTGTTGTTGTTTGTATTTAAGTTCCTCTACCAAGCTATGGACATGTCGATAATCATGGTCTTCATAAAAAACATTGTATTTAGAAGAGCCACGAGTATGAGATTGTGTGCACAATAATGGTGATATTGGCAACAAGTGAGTGTATGTTAGCTATTGTGACTTATTTTTGGCTGGAGGCAAATAAGTTGGCCAATTCTAATCTTCAATTCATCTTTTATAATGTTAATGTGGTTGTTGGCTACTAGGATGAGTCTTCATTTTTGTTGAACTGAGTTCACCTCAAGATCTATGCAGTTGATAATGATGATGATGATGATGTCATAAATTCCTAGTGACTTCCAAACATTCAAGTTTTGAAGCCTCCACATGATTGCACTATTCTTCATTAATGCAATTGTTGGCGATTCTAAATATCTCCACCAACAGCTTTAGCTATTCAAATTCTAATGCATATGTAAATGGTACTTTTTTAAGACCTTGGTGTTAGCACGACTAAGTGACTATTAGCTTTGAATCTATGACACTCAAAATCTAATGTTGGAAGCAACTCTTTGTGTTGATTCTTTGAGTTCTTACCTGATCCTTAACAAAGCTTACAAGTTTCTCAATTTCTTCTAGGCAACAGCAAATTATGTGATAAACAGTTGCTTGAACTAAACAATATTCACGATACTACCACGCAAAAGTTTTGAAGACCATCCCAATGGCACCTCCTTACATGTTGCAAAGACCATGTAGCCTTTTATAACATCGTTAATATCTAACAGTGAAGTCACTAATTCGAAGTACATGACCTACTGTATCAAATTTTCCATTAAATGAAGTACGGAATCTTAAATTTTGCAAGGGTTTAGGTTTTAGCTTTTTTTTTTTAATAATGCATTTTTCAGTTGATATTTCTGCTTCTCAAGTTGCCAATGTCAAGGAGCATACTCTTCCCTATTGTCAAATCCCATCCATTGTTGGAGACAACTTCAAAGGTCTCGCACTTGGCAGTCACTTTTGTATGATAAGAGTCAAATGATATTTTTGGCATTTTAACTCTCATAGTATTCTAGTAACTCAATCTAGTACTCTTTGTATCATCTTCGTAATCCTTTCTTCCATTTCTACAAGTTGTCTATTTTTAATTAAGTATCATTTCTCTATGTTAACTGAGTCTTATATGTATTGCTGTTGTGCCTCCCGTAATGCTCGCTTTTGATTCTTAGCATCAATCCATTCTTATCATGACAATAAAGTTGATCGAGATTTGTCTGTGAGCAACACAAGAACATTAATAACTTTTTTTTTTTAAGAACAAATAACTAGAACAACAAGGAACACTAAATAAAAAAAATTGAGAGAGAGAGATAATCTAAAGAATCTATAGCGAGAAACTCTGAGATTTCACTGAATTGGAAAAACTAAAGCTTTAGTACAAATAATCTAGCCTCTCTAACTTTACTCCTAACCCACTATTTATAGATTCAAGCCAAAGTTCAGCACCATAGAAAAAGCTATATTTTAAGCTACATTAGAAACTGCATGGCAAGGCTTGATAATTACTTAATGCAAAAAAGTATAGAAAGCACGTAGCTTGAATACAAATAAGTTCCTTAGCTGAACTGACACTCTAGGGAAAGTTCTTGAATAACCAAGTTGAATGCTAACGAGTAGCATTAGAACTTGAGCGAGTTAATTTAAGGGGTGAGCAACCATGAGTGAATATTCTCGGGTATAGCCTTCATGAATTTGATCCATCAACTCGTGTTTACCGTAATTGAGGCGAGTTCTCCATGATGTTGCGTGTTGCTAGAGTCTAAGAGTTCAATATGATTCGTCTTCTTTGCTCGGCTGGCTTGCTTAATGCATCTAACTGGGTTAACTTGACTTGGACTGAACCTTCAGGATCTTTTTAGATACAATATTCCATACATGTTACAGTAGTGCATAAAAGGCAAGGATATCCATTTTACATGTAGATTTGTTATGGGGGTCTAAAAGGTTAACTGCAATTGCACAAGAAAGCCACTAATTTAAAAGACAAGGTGGAGAGAGCACATGTCTTACCCCAAGAACGCAGATAGCTACAGTTTTCAGAGTGATAAGGCCGTAGTAGTCAACAAATGGCATCAACTGGATATCTCCATAGGCCTGCGATTCTTTCCATAATTCTAAATTGACTTGCTTTCTCTTGTGCTGAATGTCAAGGAAAAACAGCATCAATAAGAATACATCATAAAAATGATGCAATTATTCAATGAGTCAAGAGACAAGCACAATAGGGTACCCAAGTATTTACTTCTTGAATCGAATTTTAATATTCATAAGTGAAGATCTTAACTACAAAGCACACTAGAAATATTTTGAAGATCTTATAAAGCACGTCTCATCCAATCAATCAAATATCCATAGTTTGATACATCAATGAAAAGAATTCAAAAAGTCATGAAATTAATGGTCTGACGGCCTGACGTGCGGTAAAGATGAATGAGCTGTCATAAAATCAACTCAAAACCATCATAAAGCCCATTATGGTTGTTGACCTACAACCGCCAATCGGACCCAAACGTGCACGATCCCACTTCCCCCACAACCTTGAACAACTGCCGCACTCATGTCACAAAATGACGCCCTCCTTCATTCGGACTCTTACACTCTCATAAACAAACTCAAACAAGGAATAAGGTTGGGAACTTACCTATCGATCTCTCTTGGACGCCTGCTTCCTATCGCAAAGCCACACCGCTGATCTCCCTGTCCCGATCCAGCCCTCTCACGCAAGCAAGAATACCGAAGTTTTCTTCCATCTCCTGTAAGCCATCTACAAGCAGGAGCCATACCTCTAGGTCTCTCTAGAACCTAGCCATCCGTCGATCGAATCCCTCTGACCTCCATCCTCTTGTGCTTGTCTTCCCTAACAGACCTAGCCGACCTCGCCGGCCCGACCTCCAGTCGTCATGCCCCAGACCATCATCGTGCCCCAGCCTCACTCGACCATGCATGACTTCCGCCTCCATCCCGATCCTCTTCCTCCCTCTCTCTGTTAATATATATATAAATAAAATAAGATGAAATAAAAAAAGGGAGGAGATTTTCAAACATGTACCACAATAGGAGAAACTTGAAGGAAGTCTCGGAGTTGATATGATCCCCCGAAGCCCTTGGCCAACGATTTGATCTGGCCGAGTGGATAGAAGACTTGAAGACTATTGTTGAGGTCGATTCGCTCCCCCAAACTCCTCATCGTTGATTTGATCCATTTGAGTCGAGCCAAAATGACAAGTGCTCTCCCAAACCTCCCCTCGCGGCGAGGGGGCTTCAGAAGGCTGTCGAATTTTTGAGGGGAATAAAAATATATTTTTAAAGTAAAATCAAATAACTTAATCAAATAAGTACCACAACATGGGAAAATCGAAGGAAGTCCCGGGGTTGATTCGGCACCCGAAACCCTTGACAGTTGATCTGATCCAGTTAAGTGGATTGAAGACTTGAAGGCTATTTTTGGGGTTGATTCGCTCACCCATGCTCCTCGTCGTTGATTTGATTAGTCGAGTCAAGCCAAAAAGGCAAGTGCCCTTCCCAAATTCCCCTCGCAGGGAGGGGGCGCCGGAAAGCTGTCGGATTTTCGAGAGGAATAAAAACTATTTTTAAAATTTAATTAAGCCACTCAATTAAAATGTTGCACACAATTAGAAGACTCGAAGACTATTTTTGGAGTCGACTCGCTCCCCCAAATTCCTCGCCGTTGATTTGATCTGGTCGAGTCGAGCCAAAAGAGCAAGTGTCCTCCCCAACCTCCCCTCGCGATGAGAAAATGTTGGGAGGCTGCCGAAATTAAAACTGACACGAGACTCTCACAAAATTAAAATTGTCATTTCAACCAAACACCTCTAGAATAACAAAGAAGATGATAACAAATGTGTCGGTTACGAAAAATCTTTTATTTGGATGAATTGTAATAAAACTATTTGAGTTTAAGGAGTCTTTGAGACTAAAATATAATATTGATGCAAATGAAAATAAGAAATTACTTCTTGATTAAAATTTGACGCATCTTTTAGCCAAATTAGAATCTTCCCTCTAAAGTCTTTGTTTGAAAACATTCATAATCTATTTTCATCTGTCTTAACAATGTATAACTAGAGTTCGGTTCTTTTAAAATTTGAGAAATTCTTTTCAAACAAGAACCTTAGAAGCATTTTTAGACTCTTTCTATTGGATAAATTGTTTTATTAGTAGCTAGTCTCTTTGTTATGATGAGCATTTGACACATAAGTATCATGCTATTATTCATTAAATCAACACGGCATTCTTCATGTTGTTGATAATGATTTTTTATTTAACCATTTGATGGAATATGTTGTTTTAATCACATCGAGCCTTGCAACATTCATTATTGTATTGCATTTAATGATTACAAGAACATTCTTTTGACAACCAATAATTTTAGAGAGATCTATTCAAAGAGTTGTGTAAATGCGAGGAGATGTCTCCTTTGAGTCAAATACATTAGACCATTCTTACACTATTAGCATATTAATAGGAGCATCACTTGACTTCTTCCTAGCTCTCTTTAATGATAATTATCCTTCATTTGTTAAAAGAAGGCATATCACCAATACAAAAGGAGCAATAAATTTGTAGTGTGCATAACTGACCTATAGGAGATAATAGGTCGTAGCAATCAATGTAGTTAACTCACAAGAAAGAACACGATCTCCTAATGTCTATTGAATAAACATTCCTTATAAGCTATATTGAACTTGAATGAATTAAACAACATATCTTCTACATATTACAACTCAAACCTGATTTAAAGTAAAGCCACCAGATCCGCAACACTTTTTCAAGAGGACAGAAGGTTATATCTTTATAATAACTTCAGTCTGTATATTAAAAGACTCTTGCATGTGCTCCAATCAACTTGTTAAAATTACAAACACAATGTCCTGGAATGTTGTGCAGGGCTAAATGCTCACTAATATAACATTCTATTTTCAAATTAAACATAACCCGCATGTGCTCAGACAAATGCAATAAATTTACAAACACCAATGTCAAAGAATGTTCCGCATGTCTAATATTTCAAGTCTCATCCTCCTAGAAAAGATTGGAGTCGACCTGACTTTAATCATAAAATACCTCCCAAATTCCTAAAAAAATATAGTAACTTTAAAGTCACCCCGATGATGACCGTGTTGATGAGAAATCATAACCGAAGGGGTTAAATTTCAAACCAATAAAAGGTTGAATTCTTAAAATGAAATATATCACTTAAAAACTTACAATTAGAACTCATCCACTTCCCGGAACAGTTTGTCAGGGGTGATAAATTTGAAATTTACCTCAGCTCACAAAGAGCGAATGTCGTGTCGGGTGTATCACTAAGATTCATCCTCAAAAAGTTTGCCAATAGGAACGTGACACGTGCCCTCTGATAGGGTCGTTTTGCCACAAAATGACATCATTATATTACGATCATAGTCAAAGCTCGTATGTTCCCCAACAGCGTTAAACTCTTGAGCAATGAATCATAGGGTATATTCGACCTACATAAAACCCTCTATCAACAAAGGTGGATTCAGATCTATCCCCTTAGACAAAGACCAACCTAAGTCTACAAAGTATTCTTGGACGAAGAAACTCATGGCTGTCGATAAGATATTTTCTATCAGGTTGGGTCGACTACCTCCTCTGACTAAGTAGACTAAGGAATATGATAGTCAGAAATGATAGAATGGGATCTTGATCGGGCTCGTCTTCATTCCCCCATCACCAGTTTTAAGTTTATGATGATAGATTTAAAGTCTCAAACTCTAAATTTCAATACCATAATTCAAACAATAAAACTGTTGCTATTATACGTTGGATTTACAATATATGCGACCTCTTTAAAAACTAGCCTTAATCGAAAGTTTTCTCTTGTTATTGGGAGGAGTAATTAACTATAGGGGCTTGCGCCTATAGGGAACCAGAACTCAGATCATAAAGTCCTCGTAAAATGAGGGCGAAATCTCTAAGTAGTGTCTTATCTAAAACTCAATCTGTCTTCTGAAAATTCACCCGGAACCTAAGCTCTTTAAAACTCTCTGCTGTCACAAACAAACAGAAAATAGAGACTGAGGCGCGTCGAATTTTCGGAGCCCACAATGGCTATGTAAAGGAACAAAATAAACCATGTTGAAGATCGTGAGTATGCTTCTGCCGATGCAGAGTGAAATGTACTTAGCTTTACCATTGAATTGCGTAAATTCTATTTCCATTGATTGAAGACACAACCTCTGAATAACAAGAAGACATTTAGCGGATATAACAAAGCTATTTGCTGAACTGAAGAAGTACAACTTACAAGTCCGATGAGGAAACACACAGCAACGTCTCCAGACCTAACTGCTTCATACTGCATCCAGGATTTCCTTATTGCCTGCCGCCGAGCAAAATTGTTACTTGATGAGAACACCCCAACAAGCATGAACGCCCTGCGCTTTGCAATCTTAGGAGCCTTGAGCTTCTCCACGTCACCAACCAACGCAAGATCTTCAAAGAAGGGTAAGCCATTTGCAAAACAGGACAACACCTCTAAAGCTCCCTCAACCTTTACTCCACTCACTGACCACGGGTCAAGACTCTGCAACCATCATCACAAATCATTAAACTCCAACTACGACAATCAATTTTTCGATAATTCATCAAATCATGATTGATCAAGAACATATAACCTCCTTATACATGAATGAGGTCTCATGTCGCCCATTCACCGTCATGTGGAAACCATCAAGTCCTGCCCACAAAGTGCTGGTGAATGCTTGACCTTCAGTGAAGGGGAAGTTGATGCTCATGTGAGAACTCCTTTTCTTTCCTTCAACAACACTGCCGTTCAGCCTATCCTCAAGGATACTCTCACCAGAATGCACATTGCAGCGAACAAGCTCATCAACTGTATCCATTTTCAGTAGAAATCTGCTCATCAATTCACAAGAAAATTATCAAAGAACTCATCGAATATCTCCTATTGAGGGTTAAAGCTTTACCTTTCAGGTTACCATCAGGCTCCGGGCACCACTGCCAGTCGATCCAACCAAGTTCAGGTGTCCATGAGCTCTCAGCAATGGTCGATGAATCGCCGAGGCTGACGTTGTACCGAAGCACGACATGCGGCGGAGCTCCGCTTCCGACGAGATCAATATAGAAGGGGCCGGAGGGTATGGCAACCACATTGATGGCTGAGTTTTCGGTGAGGCCGCAAGGAATTGTGAGGAACGTGCCATTGCTTCCGCTTACAGCGATGGCGGAGAAAGGACAAGAGGTCACAGATGCGTTGGCGGGTTTTGGTTGGATGTCGGCCGCGAGGTTGCTCCAGACAGCGGTGGCCTCGCGGGCTGCGGCGGCGGCTGTGGGAAGGGAGTCGGCGCGAGAAAGGAGGGAAAGGAGATAGGGCCAAGCGAGCGTGGGAGTGGGATTAGGAACGGTATCTTCGGCGGAGGAAATGAGGGGGGTGAGACTGGAAAGGGGTGGAGAGGAGTAGCGTTTACGAGTTGAGATACGGCGGGGGGTAGCAGAGTTGGGTGAAAAAGAGTAACGGAGGAGGAGGAAGACGGCCAGGGAGAGGATGAGGATGCCGCCGGACCACCGCTTCATCGTCGGAAAGGATTATAATCAGGGCTTCGAAAGCATGCAAGTAAGAAGCATTGTCGCCAAAAGGGAAATGGGATCTGCGCCTTGCTGGAGCGGGAAGCCTGCTAGTAAGCTGGTGGAATGGAGACGACGGTGGAGGTTGGGGGAGTCCATTTGATGGCGAAAAGGAAGGGAAATTCTAAATAAAATTTTAAAAAAATAATATCTGCCAACTACAAAAGATGTGATGGTTGCTTCGAATGTTTCTAAGAATAAAAAAATAAATGAATTTTCAAGAAAGTTTTATTTTATATCATGCAATACTAAAATTTGTTCAAGTTTGTAAAAATCTGGACAAGAATAAAAAAATTCATGAGTGATTCAAAATTTGATGGAATCGAATGATATAATAAATATTAATTTATATGATATAATAAAGGAGAGAGATAATTAATGACAAATAAGACAGATGATAAATACAACTAATTATTAATGAGCTAATGAGTGGCCACTCATAATAGTGAATGACAGATTGAATGATATCAAAAACATTAATACCATGCAACTAGATCAATATAATACATGCAATTGTTATGATATATGATATGCTATTGATGATATATAATTGTTTGTATGACTATGATTAAATATATGTTATGCATTGATTTTAGGCCAAATTATAAAATAGATCACATTTTAGGCTAAATTAAGTGGTAGAAGTGCGTTATCAAAAAAATTTAAAAAGGAGCGAATACGTAGTATCAAGTAATGTATACATAACCAAAAAATATTAATCCAGTTTAACAGAAACAGGATAATTAAATTATGGTTCCTATAGAAACTGTAACATTAAAATTCGGAACATTAAAATCCGGTTTTAATAAAAATAGGATTTTAATGATTTTTTCAAATATATTTTTTAAAAATTTAAATCATTTAAATTTTTTAAAAGTTTATACGTTATTTAATGGTATTTAAATTAGAATTAAAATTCATTTTTAAAAAAATGATTGTTAATTTATCTTTTATATTTTAAAAAATTTCTATTAAGAAAATTAATTTGTCTTTTATGCTTAAAATATATTTAAATTGTACTTTAACTGTTAATTAATAATTATTGAGCAATTTAATATATAAATTGATTAATATAATAAAATTAATGATTAATTAAAAATAAATTAATTATTAATTAAATTTTAATATAAAAATTTTATATTTAGAATATATTTTTTTATATTTAAAAAAAGAATTAATGTTTAATTTATCTTTTGTATTTATTAAGAATTTTTAAAATGAATTGATTCTTAATATATATTTTAATTAAGATTGAAATGAATAATAAATAGTTTTAGTTTATTGTTTGAGTAATAATTTATTTCAATGAAATTATGATAGTTTATTAGTTACATATTTAGTTATATTTGTAAATTTAGTTAAAATAAAATTATTTTAAATTAATTAATGAATAATTTATACTAATTATGTATATAATTTATTATATTTTAAAATAAATTATTAGAATGTGATTTTAATATGTACTTACTGTGGACATTAGAATCCTCTATCCAAAATTTTATTCAGAGCATAGGATCTTTATAACTCGTTCATTGTGCATTGACATGTTATGTAGTTTGCAATAGTCTGTCACATTAGATGACTTGTAAAGTTGTAAGGTTCATTTCAAGTTTTATTGTGTTTTATGGTTGCGAGTGATGATTGGATATGTTTAGTCTTTGCTATTTAAAGGGTGCATAAGAGACATGGAGTATATTTGTAGTTTTTTTTTTTTACTTGAGTTATTCAGAATATTTTGGTCATGTATGGAGAGGCTTAAAAGAGTCCCCAACAAAGAAAATTTTGATGATGCAATCCATATAATGCATGCTTGTATAACACGAGCCAGTGACACTCTGTTGGAGCAAAAGGATAATACAAATGAGATCTTTAGTTGTTGTGTCCATGAATGGTCAGAAGATGAGAATGATTGCCTCTAGAGTATGTATGCTGAGGTAATGAGGGTAAAACTTTACAGGACAAGACATTTCTTAAATGTCGCTAGTTGGAAATATCTTCAAATTAGGTTCTGGGAAGAGAATGATCACCTTGTCAGCCCTATTTTTTTGTAAATGCAGTATCATGAGATGAAACGTCATAGAGATTATGAAACCCTTTAAGTAAAAGAAGTTAAAATCTTAAACATCGAGACCCCTTTTGATATAATAGTTAAAATTTTATTAAGAAACTTCACAGTTAAGCATGCTCACCCTAGAGCAATTTTGGGATGAGTGGGGAAGTAACTCCAACAAGATAAAATCTTGAGGCTCTTAGGCCAAAACGGACAATATCTTGATAATTAAGAGTTTGGGTTGTTACAAATAGCATTAGAGTGATACACTAGCCGGAAGATAGGAACTAAGTGCCATAAAAAACAAAGCACTTTACCATGGAAGTCACCTCTTAAATCCTTTATGGAATAAAGTGCTTCATGATGTGAGCCACTACTTGAACTTATAGTGGCCACCTTTAGAATCTTATCTGCCAGTTGGATAATTCTGGGTGAAAGATGCTGATGAGAATTTTAGTTACATAAGCGGGGGAGATTATGAAACTCATTTACTAAAAGAAGCTAAACTCTTAAAGATCAATGCACATTTTGGTGTAATGATTATAATTTCATTTAAGGAACTCTACAGTTAAGCATACTCATCTTAGAACAATTCTGTTATGGGTGACCTACTGAAAAGTTACACTAATAATACAAAATTATGAGGCTCTTAGGCCAAAGCTGATAATATCTTGATAATTAAGAGTTTGAGTTGTTACAAATGATGACGATCATTCCCCGTCAGATGTTGACTGTAGCCACCTTAATATTGAGCATGTCATTTTATATTATCATTAGTGTTCGAGATTTGACCAATTCATTCTAGATTTTTTACAAAGATCGGATGAAGGAGTCATTACCTGATGGTAAGTATAGACAGTTATTCAATGCTGAAAATTGGCAAGATTTACAGAATGAGTTTAAGCTTTATATGAAATGTTGTCCAACTCAAACACAGTTTTAAGCACGACTGCATATGCTGCTTAGGAATTAGTAAATCTATGTGTTCATCTGAATGTTATCTTTGTAAACTTCTTTTATATTTTCTTCACTGTAGTTTTTATATTTAATATCAAGCGTGTCTAGATATTTTACTATGGTGTATTGTCGGTTACATGTGCTTCCTCTTAAAAAAATTATATGTTTAGGATGACTACGTTTGAATCATTATTTTATTTTTTGTTAAATATTACTCCACATGCATTACTAATTTATTTATGCGAATTAATTTGTAATATTTTTTTATATTTCAATTAATAGGAAATTTTGAGCTAATATATATATATAATGTTATGCAATTAATAAAAATAAAAGATAAGTTCATATCATAGAAATAAAATGTATGGTCCAATTACATAAGCACAAAATACATGATGTCAATATATTCCCCTACTTTTTCTTCTTACATTTGGGGATGGTTGCACTCCCAAGTGTGTACCTATCAGGTGGTCAGCTTCTCCTCGGATATAACTGGGCATTTGCAGCATCTTTACCTTATCCATTCAAGTTTGCAATGCTTTGTGTTTGTTGAGTTTACTGAAGGAGCTCATGCTACTATGTAGGAGAGTGTGATAATTCGAATGGATTCATCCATACCGGGATCTGCATCCCTAACGTGTGTAGCTGCACTTGTTGCAATGCTTGAGTTTCTATATGGTATACGAAGCACTACTGCCTCATTGTAGGCCGTACTAAGTCCAACTTTGTCTTGATGGTCATGCCTCTACGAAGCTTGCCCCCCTAATCATGTTAGCAAATCCTACAGCGAACTGTGATGGCACAATGAAGTCTCTAGAGCCCACATATATTGATTGTCTTACTGGTTCATATGTAGCTATTGCATGATTGCTCTGTCCCATTATCCTGGATGGAGCATCTGATGTAGACTTCCTTGATATCTGATGCTCATCATAACTTTTGCTAGACTACTGTCTCCCATGTTCCTCAGTGGAATCAAGCAAGTTATAGTCAATGAATAAAGAGGCATTATGCCTTGAGTACATGTCATCATAGTCGTCAAGGGCTTACTGCATAGAACTTGCACTTTTGTTATGCTGACTGGCGAATCGGTGGGCAATATGCCTGCTACGTCTGATGTAACAAGTCTGTATTTTTGTATTGTAATGTTTCTTGAAATTATGATTAATTAAATAAATTGAACATTTGAATCAACCTTACCATCATTCGCTTTTCTGAAGACCTTGGGTAGAAACTCTCTGGAGGTTATTGTGGAACATTCAATATGTATAGGGAAGCCCGCGACCGGTACCATCTCATGTATAAAAATAACTCCCCCTTCCATTTCCCTCAGGTGGAATGATTGGAATGATGAGTTTATGCATATTATTCCATAGAGTAATTAGATTCATATGATATTGTGTCCAATCAACATCTTCTTTGCCACGCCCATTAATGCACTTGAAGGTCCTCTCGATGGGTCGTATATATGTGGACTGAATACCGTCAAATTGGTGCATTACTCGATCAACCATATGCCACTCAACCCACTTCCAGCGAATCAGCGGTACTCGTGCTCTGCATATCTTTGAGGACACTTGGCATATAGGAGGTAGCATTGCAATAAGTTCACCACTATGTGGCGTCATCATAACCTGTTGAGACAAGATTTTGTTAAATTAGTTATTTATGCAATTAAAACATCCATGCTTCTCACTCATGAACAAGTAGCAAGCTTTGACGCAGTCCATCCATCTCGTCCTGATAAGTTAATAAGTTCAAATTTCTTACAAACGGTCTTCCACCCACAACGTAAAATAATCTTTAAACATTATAAATGAATGGATTAGGTCATATGATTCACACAAACATAACAGTAAATTATACCTGTAACCAATAGATTTTTCGACAATATTGACAAAAGCGGGTACTCATAGTGTTGGTCTACCGACATGCAGTTGCTCCCAAGACCAAACATGCAGTAGTGACAAACATCGAGCAATACACAATTTGTTGGGCTTTGTCGTCAAACATAGTTCTCTGTATAAGTTTGTGATGACCAAACTGCCTACTGACATCCTACTGAACCGCATCAAATCTTCCATAAAAATAAATTAAAATTTAATAATAATGATTACAAAATGCAATTTGGTCAACTAATAGCAAT